ATTGGGTATATGTACATATATACATAGTTCTAAAATTCAAAATCTTAAATCGCCAGAAACCATCAAAGTCTAAACTTAAAAACGATTATATATTAAAAAAAAAAAACAAAAAACAAATACTCTGACAAATGTAACGCGAAAATCATCTGATTCGGAGTGGAGAAAGTAAGCTAAATATTTGAAGCCATCAAGAGTTATTGTGTAAATTTACAATGCCATTGAAAAGGCCAAATTTAAAAAATGATGGAATATTTTAAATATAATTCCTTAAAGCGAAACCGAAAGTCTTTTTATACCTACTTATATACACATGCAGAGACATACACATGCAAATCTGTATAAATGTATTACTTATATTTAGCATATGGGACGGTATAAATATGTATGTATCCACACCATCGCCGGCTAAACAGAGGTCGGGCCAGTCGAAATTATATCACTGACGAATCTACTTTTAGAAATAGCGCGCAATGTTTTTTTCTAGTTTAATTTCGCATTAAACATTCATACATATATGTATGTATGCATGTATGTAAAATGTAAAAGAATCAATAAAAATTGAATGGCAATATGCTCTTTAAAATCCTGTATGGAACATTTATTCACTTCAATACATATGTATGTATCTAAGCATTTATACACATATACATGATGACGCAATAGTCATTAATAATCTGCCTAAAAATATGAATATAACATTTGGTCGAAAAAATGACGTATCTTAAAATTTAAGTTCCTTAATTATAATATACTTCCCCCAGATGTTCATACACCTGCTCTATGACATTGAAACATCTGCAACTACATATCTTATATACATATACTCCATTATATTATTTCTTTTTCTATACCCACTCCATTCATCCTGCATAGGATGAGAAAATTGGTAAAAAAAAAAGGGGGAAATGCTTGGAGTAATTCATGGTTCGGTGACCACTAGATCAGTAAACTTCACGTAAGAACATGGGGGTAGTGATGGGCATAGACCATCGAGCTGTGTCCAGAGAGTAAAATCCCAAGCATACATTTTGAATACGGTTCAGGATCTGTAATGCCAATTACAACAATAATTTGTTACTAATTTGATTATTAAAATATTGAACAAAATATATTAAAATTGCTTTTAATTTTTATCATAGCCCACTCAAATTTTAATAGGAAATGATTTTAATTCAGTACATGCTAATAATATTTGGTGATCGTCACAGTGTTCTTCCATTCTGTTTATACATACATATATATGTCCTAATAAATTTATTCATGTATTAGCACTAGCATAGTTAGAGGCAAATATTGTGCATGTGGTGAGTTTAACTTTTGAGCTTGCTAATTGTATATTAAACTAAATATACATATAGTATATAAATCCATGTAAGCGCTCATATACATGTGTACATATGTATGTATTGTATATAAAGAGTTGGCAGGTGTGGCCAAAGGTTTGCAGGGCAGTTAGGGCAGCTCAAAAAAGCTGGGTTCGGAATTTTTTTAATTTGAAAGCTGGAAAGCTGCCCACGTCCAGTTTTGAAAATATTTAACTTTGAAAATTTTCATCATATTTAGAAAAATTTTTATTTTTTTATTTTTGGAAATAGCAATAATACCGTTTGCCCACCCTTTAGAATTTTGAAAAAAACGACATGAAAGACAAACAAGACAGGAAGCTAACTTCGGCACGCCGAAGTTTATATACCCTTGCAGATAGAACTTCGATGACTTCCTGGATTCCTTCCATACAATATAAAATATACATATTAATGTTAAAAAAAAAACAATGAAGTAATACCTGCTCTCATTTCATTCACCTATAGATATTATATTTTAAGTTTTACATTCACAGATTTTCATTTTTGCTCCACATCTAACGATCGTTTGTATTGCACCTATGTGATATAGTCGTCCGATTTTCATAAAATTTGCAACAAAATTTAAGACTGATATAAAATGGCTATATTTCAAATTTAATGAAAATCTGCTGAAAACTTAAAACGTTATAATTTTTAATTGTATTCATTTTTTGATCGTTCGTGATATAGTAGTCCGGTTTTTTTTATAACTTTACACAAAATTTAGATTAAAATAAAATGATATTTGATGAAAATCTGGTGAAAACTGAAGAAGTTATAATCTTTAATTTTATTAACTTCTTTTATTTCTTATAAAATGGCTATGTATCAAATTTGATGAAAATCTGTTGAAAACTGAAAATGTTATACTTTTTAATTGAATTAATTTCTCGATCGTTTCTATGGGAGCTATATGATATAGTGTCCGATTTTCATCAAATTTTACACAAAATTGTATAATAATATAAAATGGCTATATCTAAAATTTGATCAAATTCTGTTGAAAACTAAAAATTTTATAATTTTTTTTGTAAAACTTTTCCGATCATTCCTATGACAGCTATATGATATAGTCGTCCGATCCGGCCCGTTCCGACATATATACGAGTGAGAGTATATAGAAGACTAACTGCAAAGTTTCATTTAGATAGCTTCAAAACTGAGAGACTAGTTTGCGTAGAAACGGACAGACGGACAGACGGACATGGCTAGATCGACTCGGCTGTTGATCCTGATCAAGAATATATATACTTTATATAGTCGGAGGTGCCTCCTTCACTGCGTTGCAAACTTCTGACTGAAATTATAATACCCTGCAAGGGTATAAAAAGAGACGAAGTCTTCCCAGAATTGATAGATTTAAATATAGAAATTAGGACTAGAGTCTAATAGTCTTACATAGTTTAAAATATTTACAATTATTGACACTTGCTGGAAAATATTGGTCGGCTAAATAATGACCAATGCTGCTAGGTACAAGCAAAACGAAACCCTTCGGTGCAGCTAACACAAAAGTAAATGTTGCGCGTGCAACACACCCTGCAGTACCGCATATCATTCATTGATTAATTGTTGTTGATGACAGCCTAGGACTTGCCCATGTTAATTTCATCATCAGTTTGTATGGCCGTTCATCGATGAATCATCAACAACACCGCCTTGACTGTTGATGAAACGTTGATGAATTACTGATGACTGGTACTGCAGGGTATCATTTCAGCATGCCCGTCTGACGACTATATCATATAGATGCTATAATACAATTACAAAACAAAAACTTTTTCAGTTTTCAAACGATTTTTATAAAATTTTAAATATATCCCTTTTATATTATTCTAGAGTTTTGGTTTTAATTTGAATAATTTGAAAGCAGGCATTACATAATTGTTTTTAATACGCTTTTATTAGTTCGGGATGTACATATGTATATATCGGAATCTTTGAACACTATTTTCAAGGGTTTCCAAATATCTGATAAACTTGAAACTTGGCATACTTCTTAAGGACCGAAGACAATGCAATAATTTGATACAAAATTTTCATTATCCTGATTAGGATCGTCAGGATTGATACATTTTTTATAGATCCTCCGTAAAGGAGTAAGAGAGACAGACCCTGTGCGCGATCTGCGCACACTAAAAAATAGAAAATAAATAATAGTTTAAAAAAACACGCTTGTATAAATAACCGAACTAAAAAGAAGAAAATAATTTATAATTACAAACAAAATTATTAAATTCAGAGCAATAGTATATAATTTTAAACAAGATCACTAAATTCAGAGTTTAAATTGCTACTGATCGAAGTTATATCTGCAAGGGTATAAACTTCAGCGTGACGAAGCTTCCTTTCTTTTTTAAATTTATCATAAATCAGACGAATGTGTCATATGACTGACATTGGAGAAACAGAAAAATAAAGAAATTGTTTTAAAATTAATATCTTCGATTTTATTTTCGTCACCTATAAAGTACTGAAGTATTATAGATTAAACAGGCATAAAAAGAAAAGTTAAGAAAAAGTAAACTTTCCATTTTCATGTTCCTTTTAATTTTACCCACAACGCTATTTGTAGCTGTTATCTCACACTACTTTTTTTTACATAATCCAATATCTTATAAAGTTGTTATTATTTACGATTTGAAAACAATGTTTTAAATGTTTTATTTTTTATCAACTTATGTGTTTTTAAACATATTTTCAAAATATTTACGATTTTTATTTCATTATTTTAATTCCTTTTTTATTGTTGCCGCGTTTCTTTGTAATTAGTAATTGGTAGTTTAAGCGTGATTGCGTAAATAAAGATTCCTGTCAGATTGAGATTAAGCGCATTTGAATCGAGGCTAACTCCGACACGCTATAGTTTGCATACCATTGCCGTTTGCAAGGATCATTGAGAATCTATAAATTTTTGCCAAATAAAAAAAAAAAATATTTAACATTTACATACAAATATCTAAAACTGCGAGATGTTTTGTAATTTCCAAGCTACATATGTATATTATATTTGTATAATTTGATTTTGATCAACTTTAAAATATATAAAAATTTAAAACTAATATAGACCCTATAAAGTACATATATGTATGTATTTTTTATTAGCATAAACATCGAAGTCCGTCTTTATTTAGAGTCTGTTCAGCTAGAAAGCCAGCTGGTTAAGGTTAAGGTTAATTTATTACAATTGTGTACGTTGGGGTTAATTAGCAGCCGAATAGTGGCTTAAATCCAAACAAATAAATAAGAACTGTCCGAAGCTTCTGATGATTACGACTCTTTTATTTTCCTATATGGGCTTTCAAAATTGTAGTCCTAGTGTAGAACAGTTGGAAATACTTTCGGAATAATTTTTAATTAAAAATTAAATTTAAATACACCCTTAACTGAAAAAATATTTACGGAGAAGAAAAATATTTACTGCAAAAAATGAGAACATTAAAAATTTTAGAAATCTAAAAATAGAGCCGATGCATCCTTTGATTTGTACTATTCTATATTTGCACTAAGAATTGGGCAACAATATTGTGTGGGAATATTTTTAAATAATTCAAAATAATATAAGCAAATAAACTGTTAATTTTATTTATGCATTTAAGATCTTCTACTTTATTCAGATTTTAAATAGTTAATTTTCTCATTTTATTATTTCAGCTCAAGTGATAACGCTCATCTTTGTTGTTGAGGATTTAAAATACAACACAAATTACACTTTCTTTATAAGTGTTACAGATTTATTTAATATCAATAGAGGCATAATAAGCAATCAATATCTCAACTTAACTGTTTTTCTGTTCTTATTGTATTGCATTCGTCAAACTAGCTATACAGTTTTAGATCATGGTTCCGAGAATCTTAGAAAATCGGATCTTTAGTCCAAAGCGGAAGGCGTCAAAAACTGATTCGTCGCTAATTAATTTTGGACTTACGGTGCTATTTTTGTTGGCGCTTATTCATCAAACTAGTGCTCAAATCGGTAAGTGTCTCATATTTTACTTAACTTATTAATTGAAAGAAAGTTTTTTATTTTCTAAGTAGAAGGTCGTCTAAATGCGTTTTTTCTCGCAGTTTCTAACCAAACTTAACCACACCCTAACGATGCTTTGGTTCTCATCTCGAACTTTCCGACAAAAAATAATATAAAGCTTATCTAAATAAAACATAAGAATATACAATTTCTTGATGATTAATATTATAAGGTGCCCGAAATAAGTATGTAGAACTAAAAAATTTAAATTTCTATTTCCATTTTTAATTTCCTAACAATATCCAAGTGATAAAATAAAAACATTTTAAAACAAAAAGTTTTCAAACGAAATACATAAGTAGATAGGACAAACTCGCAATATCAAAAATAACGAAATAAATGAACACATTCCAAATTGTCTTCAATTGGAGAAACGTTATTGAGAAAGGATTTAATCGGATCTAAGTCCGGGGTGCGCGCTCGCCATTCCAATATGCAGTCGGATTTCCAACGATGAAAAAAAAAACTCTTTGAGTGCTTTCCACAGTGGATAGGTGCATTATCCTGTTGAAATGTCCGTTCTCCACCGATATAATCGTCTCGAAATTGACCAAGAATTGCTTGTAATAGTTCAACATAGGTTTGAGCGTTCATTATAAAAAAATATATTCTTGTTGAAATATGTTTTTTTAGTCATATTAAAAGCTCATACATAATCTTATTATAATTTATATTATATTATAATTTTTAATGGTTTTTGTCAACACATTTTCTGTTCAAAAAATAATATCTGTCATTTTTCATTTTGCGAAGAATTACTTGAAAAACTGTATGTATATAATGCCATTTTAAACAGTGAAAACAACAAAGTTAAGCATTTGATTACATACTTGCATACACATATGATATATGTATGACTTCCGTATTTCCAGTATCATTCAGATAGCTATTAAACGGATAGACTAATTTAATAAAGCGTTTCATGTGCACAAAAAAGCGAGATGTTGCAGGAAAGGCCCCTCAGCTATTTGCAATTGCAGTCTTACCCTACGTTCATTCTCCTATCTCACGGCAGAGCCAATATATTCTTTAGCCAGTATCTAAATACAGTATGTACATAATTGTGGGAAAACGTTGGTACTAAAAGAAATTCCACGAAATCATTTCCCGTGGAGAATAGAAGAGAAGGGATATACCCCTCAAGCCTAAAAGATATCATGGTCTATTATCCCAACTATGCCGCTTCAAATATTCTCCACAGTCTGAAAAAGTCGCTAGCAAAACTCAAATAAAGTACAGAATATTTAGAAAGAATAGAATAGCTTAGGTAGCTCGGACCAATAAATTCATAAGCGTAAAAAGAAAATTCAAGCCTATTAATATAAACTACAAACGATAAAGCTGCCACATTTTGCAATCATTGGTTGCATCCGTATAAAACTACTGTCATCACAATTCTGAAATCTTATTCAATTCTTCGTTCTTACGCTTAACTCAAACTTAATAAAAATTGTAATGCCGATTCCTCATACTTAATAAAAGTAAATAAATTACACTCATATAAATTTGTTAGTATGTACCGAGATGTTGGATGAAAATCAAGTCACTCAATCCTCTCCGTCGCCCGGTGTGCTCTTACTACCATTCATAACAGATAAGGATGAGCAATCAGTAAAACGTTAGAACAAATATGAATCGAGTCTGCCCTCAATAAAAAACAAGTAAAATTTAAATTTGTGTTCCTTTTAAAAGAAAAAAAAAGAAGTATGTATACATATGTATGTGGGATACCCTTGCAGGGAATTATAATTTCAGTCATAAGTTTGCAGCAGTGCAGTGAAGGAGGCATCTCCGACCATATTAAGTATATATGTACATATATTCTTGATCAGTCGATCTAGCCATGTCCGCGTGTCCGTCTGTCCGTTTCTACGAAAACTAATCTCTCAGTTATGAAACTATCTGAATGAAACTTTGTAGTTTGTCTTCTATATACTCTCACTCGTTTATAAGTCAGAACGGGCCGGATCGGACGACTATATCTCATAGCTGTCATAGAAATGATCGGAGAATTAAAAAAAAAAATTATAACATTTTCAGTTTTAAACAGAATTTGATTAAATTTGAGATATAGCCATTTTATATTACTCATAGGACCGCGCTCTGCGGCGCACAAGTGCGTTTCACGAGGCATTCTTTTTATAGTGCTACATGTGATTAATTGATTACTTTTATATTATTTTTGTGTAATTAATCTATTTTCTTTTACACTAATTTACTCAAACCAAATATTACGCTGATTGACAATTGAGCACAAACTTATGTATTCACACACAGTGGACAAAAAAAGGTTAAGTAAGTTTTAATTCTGCAATTTTTTGCCTGTAAAAAGATTGTGGTTTACTTTATACAAAACAAAACAATAACAATTAAAATTTAAAAATACTCCAGGTTTAACGTCAAAAAGTTTAAGTACGCTTAGGTAAAGATGAACTCCTGCCTCTTTAATTACTTGTTGAACCTCCATTTCCTGCAATAACTGCTTGGAGATGTCGTTGCACACTATGTAACAACACTTTGGTATCTTTCTGAGTAATTTTATCTCCTCCCGATCCTAAAACATCCTTACAGGAGTCTTTCAAAGATATTAGACGCTTCCTGATTCTTTATCTAATAAATTTCACATTTCTAAATAGGATTGAGGTCTGGAGACTGTAGAGGTGTATGCAATTGCTTGTAGTTGTAAACAAGCCCCTCCTTAATCAAATTTGAGCTCTGTTTGGGTTCGTTGTATTATCAAAACATTACTGTCCATCAGAATTTTTATGTATCAAAGCATGTCCCATGATAGTGTTTATAAAGACAAGTTTCCCAACTCCAGATATCCCCATACACTCCCAGACCATCATGTTAGCGTCGCCAAATATGTTAGAACATATAATATATATTTTTGCAAACACAAACAATGGAGAATAAAACAATCTGCCTCATCATTATTGATGGCTTGATATAATGGCTTATAGGCGATCTGCCTGGATGCGCTTTTTGAGAACTATGAGTACGTTTCGCTTACAATAAACTCTAGCGGTTGTGGCATTGTGTCCCTACAATATGCGTTTACTGCCAGTTGCACCGAATGGCAGTCGCGCTTAATTAAAATTAAGGACGGCGCTGACTTTTTATGCTCAACGGTACACTTTTTTTACCCACCATAATATTTGCGTTGTCCGTCCCAATTCCAATCAAATTTTTGATGGGAATCTTGCGCTAGTTAAGTTCTTCTAGTACGGAATTAGCAATGGTGATTGCGTCCCCACTTTCAATTGGAATCAACGACAAAAAAGTTGATGTAATAGCCAATCGTTGATGGCTAAAATAGGTTATTGCGACACCTGATCAAAATTGCAAATTGCAAATTGCAAAATATTGCAAGTGCCGCCTCCTGTCTGCGAGACTCTGATGTCGCGATTGGCTTGAACGGAATTTTGTTCTCTTAAGCAAATGGAATTGCACTTTGCGTGTTTTTTTTTTTTTTTTTGTTTTAGCATGTGCGCGAATCATGTCAATTTTTTGGTTCAAAGTGCACTTTCAATACTTGCAGTACCCCCTATTCGAATCCGTTGCATCGCGACTTAGCCAATTCGCAAGTGTAGGCTCCTGCAGCCACGAAGCGCGAAATTTTTGCTTGTATATTCCTTGGGCATCTTAAATTTTTAGCGCAATATCTCGATTCCAATACGTTTTGTCGATTACACAAAAAAAAAAAAAACAAAAAAAACAGGGCTGCACAGCTTCAAAAAAGAAGAAGACATCATATCGATATGTAAGCGATACCACATAATTACTAATTGTAAATTGTATAGACATTAAAAAACAAGAAAAAGGATGAAAATAGAAAAAATAAAATAAAAAAAGGATGTTTTTTAGGGTAGACGATGTTTCCAAAATTTTGCGGACAAAGCAGTTTCAAAAAGGACAGATCTGTATTGAACAAGGACATATTGGCAACACTTCTGCCGCTCGCATGCAGCTTTTCTTCAACCCCTTTCTCTAAGAGAAGCCCTTCCTCGAGAGTAACATGCTCTCTCGATAGAACGCATCTCAACGAATAGTGTGCCCATAGTCTTCTTATATTAATTGGCCTGTTAAAACTCGGTCGTCCTGACATTGAGATAGCCCTCTATCTCTGTCTTTGTATTAACTAACTTATGTATATAATTACAATTTCTTATAATATTTTACAATTTTTAAGTTTTGTTTTCTTTGCTTACTATCTATTATTTACAATCTTTATATTCTATTTATGTTTTTATCCAATGTCCAATATTTTTCACACTCCAAACACCTTGATATGGATTGCGAGGCAACTGGAACCCGTTAATAGCTTTAAGCAAATATCTGTAATTTTTTAACACCTTGTCAATTACATAAGAACCTTTATTTATTGAAATAAGTTTTCTCCATGCTTCCACAGTGCTATCAAAATTCTTCACCATAACATAACCTACTTCCTTATAATCCGACGCAATGTTCTTTTTAGCAGTGTAGTATTTTTCATTCTTCATTTGAGCCTTTTGTTGTACCTTTTCTGCATCTTTTCTAAGATCTTCTAATTTTGTATCAACAATTTCTACCACTTCTTCGTCTTCCAATCTCTCCTTTAACTCATCACAGACATTTCCTCTTTGTGTTATTCCAAATAATGTTTAACTAGGGCGATGCCTAATACTGCTATGAATTGAATTATTCATAGAAAACTCTACTTTTTCAATAACCTTATCCCAATGTACTCCCCTTTCCGGCTCCGTCAATTTTGCAATCATAGGTCCTAAACTTCTATTAATTCTCTCTACCTGGCCATTCGCCTGATTTTTATGTGTTTAACATTACTGATTACCAAAATTCTGCAAACTCACCAGACGTAAAACAACTCTCCGGATCTGATATTACACACTTGGGTCTACTATAAACTAGAAATGTTATGTTTTCCCATTGGGAGACCCAGGCCCGAACGGATATATTCTCCGAAAAATCCATTAGGATTTCCTATGCAAAACCGAACGCAGCTGATGAAAATCATCTCCATCATTTGTGCCGCTGCCGCCGTTTTTTCCGTTGTCAAGACGTCGTAGCTCGTCCATAGTTTCCATGCCTCCTGCTCCTCCTTGCTTATTACTGGAGCACTGCCGGGACTTTCAGGTGGAACCGCACATAGCCGGAAGTACAGAGCGGCTTTTGATCCCTTCGTAGATAAGTTCAGACACTCTAACCACGTTTTGAGCAGAACCACAGTCTCTTCTTTTATGTCTAAATCCATTTTTTTAACGTTTATACACAAAAGCAAAAAATTTTTTCCCGATCCCACTTTTGAGATTGTGACCGAATGTTAGTGTTAATAGCTTTCTTGATTAATTATTTTATTCTGATCGTAGTTGTTCAAAATACTGTTTTATACTTTTTTTTGTCTTGTGTGTTCTTTACTTTTACACGTCTTATCTTATTCGGCTCTTCTTAAACAGTGATCTGCCGCTCGCAGGCAGCTTCTCTTCAACCCCCTTTTCAAAGAGAGGTCCTTCCTCGAGAAAGTAACATCCTCTCTCGAGAGAGCGCATCTCAACAAATAGTGTGTCCATAGTCTACTTATATTAGTTGGCTTGTTACAACTGTTTGTTTTATACCCTAGCATGGTGTTTATGGGGAAGACAACGAATTTGCCACCCTTAAGCAATAATTATAACGCACGAATAGGTTATTATATGCTGTGTATATTTTCGTTTTCACTTCTCTGGTCGGATCTGCAACTAACGACCGACTTATTGAATTCAACATATATAATCTTAAAATGTAGCTTAGCATAGATAAGGCGACAGAAGAAGAAGAGAGAGAGAGAAATAGATAAACAAAGAGAAGAGCTAAGAGCGCAGCAGGTGCAGCCATGCACCCCTGTCCTTCTTTCCGTCTGTCCGTCTTTCCGTCTGTCCGTTTGTCCGTTTCTACGCAAACTTGTCTTTCAGTTTTGAAGCTGTCTGAATGCTATATACTCTCTCTATATATATATACTCTCACTCGTATATATGTCGGAACGGGCCGAATCGGACGACTATATCATATAGCTGCCATAGGAATGATCGGAAAATTTTTACAAAAAAAATTATAACATTTTTAGTTTTCAACAGAATTTGATCAAATTTGAGATATAGCCATTTTATATTATTCTACAATTTTGTGTAAAATTTAATAAAAATCGGACTACTATATCATATAGCTCCCATAGGAACGATCGAGAAATTAATCCAATTACAAATTATAACCTTTTTAGTTTTCAACAGATTTTTATAAAATTTAAGAGGGTAGACCACCCTGACATTTTTTAAAAATTGAATTTTTTACTCAATCTTGATGCTTGATATTCTTACGGTCATTTTAAGACATCGGGCTTAAAAATATCTCATTACTTGTGTATTGTACAGCCATTAGAAGTGAGCGCTGCCGGTATACCGTAGAGTACTTTTTTTACTTTCTTTTGCATTTTTCTCAAAACTACGTTTTTTAAAACGGTGTACATGATTTCTCAAAAACCGCTAGACCGATTCTCTTCAGTTTTTGTACACAGCTTCTCTATAATGCCCTCTATGGCATGACGTAGGATTTTTTCGATGTTTTTATGTTTTAAAGCTATAAATTTTTAAAACAAAAATTTCGTAAAAAAAAAAAAAAATTTCAAAGTGCTCTCATTTGCTCAAAAAAAATTGTTCAAAAAACGGCTACGTCATGCAATAGCCATACTTATATAGCTTATAAAAAATGTTTGTTTTTGAATTTCGGATAACAAATGTGGTGTGCAGCATGTACACCATCCGACCATTCCCTAAAAAAATAAGTTTTTGACTGACTATATCTCCCCGTTCGTAAATATTTTTTGTCTTTAAATAAGTATTTTTAGTTTAACATATGTAATTTGATGTACTAAGAAATAAAAAGCTGTATTCCTAATAACTTAGTCAAAATGAATTTTTGAAAAACCCTCCAATTTTCATGCGTTCAGGGTGGTCTACCCCCTTAAGTTATAACCATATCTTATCATTCTACAAGTTTTTGTTAATTTTTTTTTGAAGTTCGCACTACTATATCATATAGCTCCCATTGGAACGTTCGTTAGATATAGAGGAAAGATTAAAATCTGTAAATGTAATATGTATATGTGCATGATATGAAAGCATGCATTACTTCATTGTTTTTTAACATAAATATATATAATTTATATTGTATTAATTCCTAATTCTAATATCAGACTAAAACCATTAACGAGGTAAGGTAAAAGTGACAATGACGACTAAGCCTTCTACCGGCATGCCGAATTTATTTTTGGGAAAATCTTTTATGTAGTCACTTTTGTTTAGCCTTGTTAAGAGGTGAACCAATTTGGAAACTATAACAGTAACTCCAACGAATATCTCCGGAAAATGCTGCATATTTTTAGGTATATTAATGAAAGACATTTTTAATAGATTATGAATTTTATTTAAATTTCAGATCAAATTATTAGTGAACAGGAAAGCAAGCCCGTTGTCTTACAATGTCCTGTTAATGAAGACAAATGCGGAAAACTACATTCACTTAATTGGTTTAAGGGCGATGATCGCATTGCTGCAATGCTTCTGGGTGAAAATAATGCTACAAGTGTTAACAAAGATTTTGAAGAAAGGTAAGGAAAAAAAGGTTTATTGTATGTTTTAGAATTCATCTTGCTTTTATTATAGGGTGACTGTCGAGCAAAGTCCATATCGACTAGTTATTAAGGACTTAAAAATAAGTGATGAAGATATTTATCTATGTGATACAACATTCTTCATACCAGAAGAAACATGTGATAACTTCAATGGATATCGAATTGAATTAAGAGTTTTAGGTAAATTTGGCGTATTAGTGCGGGCCTAACTAACTTGCATGCTCATTTTTTTGTATATTTATAAATTTATATGTGAAATTTCCCGTAAGGCACAGCCACTTGCAATAAATCACAATAAAATAAAATAAATCTATTTTCACCAATATGATTAAAATAATTGAAATATTAATTATTATTATAAGCTAGATTGCACTGTAAAATAAGAGTTCTAACCTCTGAGATTTTAACCAGTCAAACATCAATCAAATCTGAGATACATATATACAGAAACCATTATATATTGAAAACCCATAAATAATTAGAAAATTATTCAATACTTGATCCAAACAAAGCCATCCAAAACAACTCCAATACACAAAGTAAAGTTTGATTTTTTTGAATATTTAATATTATATATTTTATATATTTTTTAAATAAAATGAAATGCTAATTTGGAAAGTGACAACTAAATATATAATTACAATTACGCAATCTTGATTCCAAAAATCAAAGAGCAGTGTAACAACAAGATGAGTAAGGATACGATTGTTAGCAGTCTTACATACATATTTTGTGTTCTGGTTCTTTTAATTTTTTTTTTCACAAAAAATAAGCTCAAAGCAATGAAAACAAAAGTAGCCTTAAGTGTTCGTTTTAAATTAAAATGTATGATCGTTATGCATCTTGTTATTAAACAATCTTTGGTAACATAAATACACCTGCCAATATAAGAGAACTTACATTTGTTTTAAATAAATCAAAGCAGGACCAGAGTTGTATTAAGCTCCAAATTGGTTTCTGTATTAATTTCATAAGGTAGATTTTATAAAAAATAAGTGTTTTTCCCCATTGAGCTGTTGACATCTTTCACTTTAACCATATGTTTTCTTTATCTTCCTTTTACCATAAACATGCCTCAAAACTCATAAAAATACATTTTCTTGCTTAACTGATTTTTAAACACATATTCTACAACTACTATAAAATCCATCTTAAACACCGACGTCGACGTACTTGTTACTACGATTGTTACCTAAAATACCGCTTAAATTCAACCTCTACAATTATATTCCACATAACTCTACAACACGTTTTCCTATATGCAATTTTAAACACTATTAATATAAAACATTTTATATTTTTTAATTTAATTATGGACTTTGTTAATACCTGTATTTTTATGATATATTTAATAACTTAGAAAACATTGGTAAATTTATTACAATCTAATTTAACTATTTATAGGGGTTTATAAAGCTAAAAACTTTCTGAGTAATATTACCTTGACAAAATTAATTTATAGTTGTATTTATGTTAATTTAATGATGATTTAATGATTTAACCCATTAAACATTTTAAAATTTCAAAATTATTTAACAAATTACACTTTTACATTAATAGCTTCATTTTTGTAACCTAAGTATTTATATTTTGGAAATATGGTTAAGTTAATTTATTAAAAATGTAAACTACAACATTTTTCTTTTCTAATAAAATTTACCGGACACAACACATTCACAAAACACATAAAACGACAAATACGTTTTCTTGTATATCGGAATTCAATACACATGCGTAACAGTGCCACCCACTGAGGTTGTTATTTTGGATGCAAAGGGCGATCGCATTGAGAACGGCAGCACAGTGGGACCAATGCAGGAACGGCAGTCACTGAAAGCAACATGCACTGTGAGAAATACACGGCCTCAGCCGGAAGTAGGATGGTTCCGTGGAAACAAGCGACTGACAACGTGTGAGTATAACAATAGCGTCTTCTTGAGTACCAATTTGATAACATAATAATAATAATACATAATTTAGCACTTGTATGTTCTCTATTAGGAGGTAAAATAACTTCGCAATTGTCAATTTTTTTGATAAAAACTTTTTATATACCAACATCGATACCCATTCCTTTGTTAGCTACTCAGGGTACTTCTGGTTATCATGAGTATAATTATTTTACAGACATCTTAGCGATGTTAGTGTATGGTTGGCTCTTTAAAATAAGGTCTTATTATATATTATATTATATTATTTTTCTTTATTAATCAATCAACAGATTAGAAACCATGGGCATTGATTTTTACTTAAACTGTGCTGGCCAATTTTAATGTTAACAACAATTTCTTAACAGCAAATTAACAGGGATGAATTAACATATGCCCCCAGTCATGTCAAGTTCATTCTTTTCGATAGAAAGCCCTATACACACATATTGTAGTAGGCTAGCAGAGAGCTATGTATGTTAAGCCTATGTATGTTAAGACTATGTTAAGAGATGTAAAGATCATGTGAAACGGGAGAAGTGGTATTCGGTTCGAGTGAAATAAAGAAGTGCGAATTAAAACACTCGGTTCAACCTTCCACAATGTTTATCTTGCAAAGAAGAGACTCGAGATTCTCGAGGTTTAAGAAAATTTTTTTTTAATTTATAATTTCTTTAATTATAATAAACTGTTATTCTATTTTGAAAAATTATCTATATCCTCATTAAAAAACTTTATAGACTTTATATTTTAAAGTTGAAGAATTCATAAAAATCGTTACCCAATCTCTTGCATGACAAGCCATAGGGAATCAAACCAACTATTGCTAAAATCTCTGAATACCATTACGTTATTATAAATAATATAATATTATTATTATTTACAACTCTAACAGATTCTCCAACCCATGATTTAAATGATGGACTTTATACTTCAACTCTCGAGTTGGATTGGACATTATCGCGAGAAGATCTTGCTCAAGATATTGAGTGCCGTGTAAAATCTGCAGCCATATCAAATACGATTGTTACAACTTTTGACGTGGACTTGCAAGGTATCAGAATAATAAATACATCAATATAAATATAAAACCAAAAATAAAGATAATTAAAATTATACATAGGTGGTCAGTAAGTATTTACACAACGACCATTTTCATTTCGAATTTCTGAAATTAATTAATTAAAATTAGAAGCAAGCCAAATAGGAATTCGAAAGTTAACGGTTCATTTGTAGAAATATGATATAAATAAAAAAATAAATGCTTCTACAGTGTAATATTTAAACATCATCTGGTTTCGTCTTAAGTTTAATCCTTAAAAATAAATATTGTTTTAAGCGAAAATTTCATGTTACTTTATTAATAGTTAAAAACAATTCGCTTTGGTATCGAAGAAGGCTTTCTCCTGGAGTTGAATTTATTGAGTTTATTAAACTACAACCTATACAAACTATATCCAAAATAAAAAGACATATTTACTTTTGCTTTTAGCATTGTCCTATGAACAGTTATCTTTTGTTTTCGTTTTCTGCTTGTTTCTGCATGGACCAGTCTATGCGATAAAGAAAATTTCAGGGAAATCGGTCAACAACAACAAAAATAACAGTAAAATCGGTCAAAAACTACAAGACAAATAACTAAAAGAAATTTGGAGGTAAAAATAATTGTGAATTTGCGTAAATACTTTTGACCACCCCTGTACACATACTTCAGTTTAGAAAAAACTTAATAATTCCACCGTTTATTAGTGTCTCACCTTTATTTAATTCACAGTTTTACATTCAGAGTTTTGCTTTTTCTCTATATCTTACGATCGTTTGTATATATGATATAGTCGTCCGGTTTCATAAAATCAACACCGGAATTCTAGAATAATATAAAATGGCTTTATCTGCAATTATATATAAATATATAAAACTTTCATTCAGATAGCTTCAAAACTTAGAGACTACTAGCTGTATATATTTTATCTGAACGGAGATGACTCCTTCGCTGCGTTGCAAACTTCTGACTGAAATTATAATACCCTGCAAGGGTATAAAAAAATCAAAATAAATAATCAACATTCTAATAATTTGTTTGTTTTTTATTTTTAAAATTGGATAGGAAGCTAACATTGGTACACAGACGTTCGCAATTGAATTATTAACAATCGATCCATGTTGGTGAAATTAAAAGAAAAGAAAAGCCATCAGAAATTTATTTAAATTACAAAACTTTTCACTTTTGATTTCAATTCAAAACAAGAAAGAAAGTAGCTAGATTTGGCACTCCGAAGTTTGTTCACCCTTGAAGATTTCAATTTTATATATTTAAGTTAAAAATACTGAAATAATTAATATTTTCTTAACATTCCGAAACTACCTATACATACCATATTTACAGTTACATTCATATTCATACATATGTATTTACTATTATTATTAATTTTCATAAAATAAAGCCGATAGTTTAAAATAAGACAAAATGGCTATAGGAGTCTAAAACTAGATATGTAAAAATGTAGATATGAAAAATGTAGATATGAAAAATGTAGATATGAAAAATGTAAAAATAGATATGTTGAAAACTTTTTCTACAAATTTTCCATAGTTGTCCGATCCGGCCGATTTCCGATTTATATACTATTGCAAGTATATTATACTAACTAGAAAGTTACATTCAAATACTTTAAAAACTGAGAGACTAGTTTGTGGTTAGAAATGGACAAACGGACATACATATGTAGCTGTTAATACGGATTGAATATACAATATTTATGTATATACATATGTATTTTATAAGGTCGGAAATGACATTACTTAACTGCGTTCCAAACTTTTGACTTAAATTGGAATACCCTGCAAGAGTATAAAAAGGATATACTAGAAAATAAATTTATTCAAGATAACACACGAATCCGGTGTCCATTTTGTTCTAGTAGGTGTACATTTTTCTAATCTCTAGTTATAGGCATTGAAAACTTTACATGTCTCATTAGGTTAAAACAATTTTTTTGGGATATGACCAGAAAAAAGTATACAAGTCTTCTATAACACTAACTAATGCTAGTTACAAAGTCTTACATTAAATTTAATAATAAAATATTATCAATTATTACATCACTTTTTTTTATTAATCAACAGTGCGTCCAACCGGTATTGAGATTAATGGAGTGAAACATCATACCGTTCAGGGCAGTAAAGTTGTTTTGACATGTGATGTAAGTATTAGTATACATATAATTAAGTATAGCTAACCAAAAATGAACTCAGCTTCTATTGGAGGCTCTAGGATAGGGCCTCACCACTTCATACAGTAATTCATCTGCATTTCGGGATCCAAATTTGATCTTTTTATTTTATAAGAGGTGCGTATCACTATTCAGTGTTTGAGCAGCTGGGCAATATTTTCCTGTTTGTTATAAACCATGTTAGTACCTTAAAAAACTACACTATTTGTGACGATTTTACAAACCTGTCACTAGAACAACTGAATAACAACAAAAGAACAACAAAATAATTTAAAGCGTTTATTTGTAACCCTGAATATAAAAAAATATATAAAAAATTAGTATTCAATTAATTTTTATAAGTAGGAATTTACATCGGAACAAAGCTCGATTAGCCTTTAGGCCGCAATTGCATTTTCAAGAATCACCAAGGGCAAAGTAAATGGCAAGTCCTCAAATTAATAAGAAGTTTTCGAGAGTATCAAAGGAAAATCGGATAATGTTTTCAAATTAAACAAGACGGACTGATATTTATTTAAAATAGATGTAAAATAGATGAATAAGACAAGAATCCTAAGAAAATTTTTTAGGTTGAAATGAGTATCTTACAATCGAGAACACCCGACTGGAGCTTTATTCATCTTCATAATTTAATTGTTTTTGGTTTTACATAAGTGATATGATTTACAGCTAAACATTTTTAATTATATATTATCTTTTAAAGATTCACGGAGCTCGCCCAGCTGTTAATCTCACTTGGTATAATTCAACATCAATAATAAGTCCTGATGAAAACGAACTAACAGAGATTAGAATTAAAGCGGTAAGTACATTAAAAACTGAATCTTATCAAACTTATACGATATTTAAATTATTTTTCATTAGTTTGAAAAGAATGATGGAACCTATCACACCCAATCCGAATTAATCTTTAATGCTACGCGCTTCGAAAATGACCGCGTTTTTCGGTGCGAGGCGGAAAATATTGTATTGCAAATCAATCGAGAGAAACCAGTCTCATCCGCCCTTACTTTAGAAGTCTTATGTAAGTAAATACATATTTTAGAATGAATTAAATCCGGAAATGTTAAAATTTATATGTTTAACATAAGTATATTGACATATATGTACGTATATTTTAAATCTTTTTAAATGCTTACATCTTATCAAGAAAACACTTATGTACATATTTGTCAACTAATATTTTCTAAATTATTTGAAAAACAAGACAGGAAGCTAAATTCGGCACGCCGAAGCTTGTATACCTTTGCAGATAGAATTTCGATGACTAGGAATCTCTACAATATAAATTATAAATATTTATGTTAAAAAAACACTGAAGTAATATATATTATATATTATATTTGCAGTTTTATATTCACAGATTTGCATTTTGCTCCACATCAAACGATCGTTTTTATAGCACCTAAATTTTGACACAAATTTGACACAACATTTAAGACTGATAAAAAATGGCTATATCTCAAATTTGATGAAAATCTGTTTAAAACTGAAAACGTTATAATTTTTAATTGTATTAATTTCACGATCGTTCCTATGGGAGCTATATGATATGGTTGTCCGATTTTCATAAAATTTTACACAAAATTGTAGAATAATATGAAATTTGATTAAATTCTGTTGAAAACTGAAAATTTTATAATATTTTTTGTAAAAATTTTCCGATAATTCCTATGGCAGCTATATGATATAGTAGTCCGATCCGGCACGTTCCGAAATATATACGAGTGAGAGTATATAGAAGACAAACTACAAAGTTTCATTCCATTCGCTTTAAAACTGAGAGACTAGTTTGCGTAGAAACGGACAGACGGAAAGACGGACAGACGGACATGGCTAGATCGACTCGGCTGTTGGTCCTGATCAAGAATATATATACTTTATATAGTCGGAGGTGCCTCCTTCACTGCGTTGCAAACTTCTGACTGAAATTATAATACCCTGCAAGGGGATACAAACTGTCATATGGTCCATACCATTTGTAGAAAATATTACAATAAACATCTAACAATACCTAGACGACGAATAAAACGTTAGGTTTTAGTTTAGGTTTTCCTTTTTATACCCTTGCAGGGTATTATAATTTCAGTCAGAAGTTTGCAACGCAGTGAAGGAGGCACCTCCGACTATATAAAGTATATATATTCTTGATCAGGACCAACAGCCGAGTCGATCTAGCCATGTCCGTCTGTCCGTCTGTCCGTTTCTACGCAAACTAGTCTCTCAGTTTTGATGAATGAAACTTTGCAGTTAGTCTTCTATATACTCTCACTCGTATATATGTCGGAACAGGCCGAATCGGACGACTATATCATATAGCTGCCATAGGAATGATCGGAAAATTTTTACAAAAAAAATTATAACATTTTTAGTTTTCAACAGAATTTGATCAAATTTGAGATATAGCCATTTTATATTATTCTACAATTTTGTGTAAAATTTTATGAAAATCGGACACTATATCATATAGCTCCCATAGGAACGATCGAGAAATTAATTCAATTAAAAAGTATAACATTTTCAGTTTTCAACAGATTTTCATCAAATTTGAGATATAGCCGTTTCGTATTATTCTAAAATTTTTTGTAAAATTTTATGAAAATCGGACTAATATATCATATAGCTCCCATAGGAACGATCGAGAAATTTGAGAGGAATGAGAATGGCGGTGGCTGTTGTCGGAAGACTGACAATCGCGGTGGCGATAACATTTTTAGTTTTCAACAGAATTTAATCAAATTTGAGATATAGCCATTTCATATTATTCTACAATTTTGTGTAAAATTTTACGAAAATTTGACGACTATATCATATAGCTCCTATAGGAACGATCGAGAAATTAATTCAATTAAAAAGTATAACATTTTCAGTTTTCAACAGATTTTCATCAAATTTGATACATAGCCATTTTATAAGAAATAAAAGAAGTTAATAAAATTAAAGATTATAACTTCTTCAGTTTTCACCAGATTTTCATCAAATATCATTTTATTTTAATCTAAATGTTGTGTAAAGTTATAAAAAAAACAGGACTACTATATCACGAACGATCAAAAAATGAATACAATTAAAAATTATAACGTTTTAAGTTTTCAGCAGATTTTCATTAAATTTGAAATATAGCCTTTTTATATCATTCTTAAATTTTGTTGCAAATTTTATGAAAATCGGACGACTATATCACATAGGTGCAATACAAACGATCGTTAGATGTGGAGCAAAAATGAAAATCTGTGAATGTAAAACTTAAAATATAATATCTATAGGTGAATGAAATGAGAGCAGGTATTACTTCATTGTTTTTTTTTAACATTAATATATATATTTTATATTGTATGGAAGGAATCCAGGAAGTCATCGAAGTTCTATCTGCAAGGGTATATAAACTTCGGCGTGCTGAAGTTAGCTTCCTTTCTTGTTATTATATATATTCTTGATCAGAATCAACAGCCGAGTCGATCTAGCCATGTCCGTCTGTCCGTCTGTCCGTTTCTACGCAAACTAGAGTCTCAGTTTTGAAGCTATCTGAATGAAACTTTGCAGTTAGTCTTTTATATACTCTCACTCGTATATATGTATGTCGGAACGGGCCGGATCGGACGCCTTTATCATATAGCTGCCATAGGAATGATCGGAAAATTTTTACAAGAAAAATTATAACGTTTTTAGTTTTCAACAGAATTTGATCAAATTTGTGATATAGCCATTTCATATTATTCTACAATTTTGTGTAAAATTTTATGAAAATTGGACGACTATATCATATAGCTCCCATAGGAACGATCGAGAAATTAATTCAATTAAAAAGTATAACATTTTCAGTTTTCAACAGATTTTCATTTAATTTAAGATATAACCATTTTATATCAGTCTTAAATTTTGTGTCAAATTTTATGCAAATCGAACAACATAGGTGCCATACAAACTATCGTTAGATGTGGAGCAAAAATGCAAATCTGTGAATGTAAAACTGAAAATATAATATGTATAGGTGAATGAAATGAAAGCAGGTATTACTTCATTGTTTTTGAACATTAATATATATATTTTGTATTGTATGAAGGGAATCCAGGAAGTCATCGAAGTTCTATCTGCAAGGGTATATAAACTTCGGCGTGCCGAAGTTAGCTTCCATTCTTGTTTTATATTTGTTTGTAAATGTTAAATGCTAATATAAGATTATGTGACTTTTAGAATATGAAATCAACCAGAAAAAAAGCTGAGATAAATTGAAAAGCGATCCATACCGATCAAAAGAAATAAGAAAACTAACAAGAAAAATAAAAACTAGCTTCGGCACGTCGAAGTTTGTATTCGTTTGGATATTGCAATTCGATCATTAGTAATTAACAAAATACAAAATATATATATTTATGTTAAAAAAACAAAGTAATGCTTTCGTTACATTCATATATACATACTATATTTACAGATTAACAACTACAGATTTACACTCCAAATTTTGCATTTCCTTCTACATTAAATGATAGTTTTCATGGCATCTTTATGATAAAGTCGTCCGATTTTTTTAAAATTAATTAATTAATTCCGAAATTCAGAAATAATAAAAAACAAGAAAGGAAGCTAACTTCGGCATGTCGAAGTTTATATAGCCTTGCAGATAGAACTTCTATGAATAGGAATCCATACAATATAAATTATATATATTTGTGTTAAAAAACAATGAAGTAATACCTGCTTTCATTTCATTCACCTATACATAGTATATTTGCAGTTTTACATTCACAGATTTGCATTTTTCCTCTACATCAAACGATCGTTTGTATGGCACCTATATGATATAGTCGTCCGATTTTCATGAAATTAGGCACAAAATTTAAGACTAATATAAAATGGCTATACCTTAAATTTGATGATTGATTAATTGTATTAATTTCTCTATCGTTTCTATGGGAGCTATATGATATAGTAGTCCGATTTTCATAAAATTGTATGCAAAATTGTAGAGTATAGTAAAATGGCTATATCTTAAATTTGATCCAGTTCTATTGAAAACTGAAAAAGTTAAATTTATTTTGTATAAATTTTCCATTCCTATGGCAGCTATATGATATAGTATTCCGATCCGGCCCGTTCCGACATATATACGAGTGAGAGTATATAGAAGGCTAACTACAAAGTTTCATTCAGATAGCTTCAAAACTGAGAGTCTAGTTTGCGTAGAAACGGACAGACGGACAGACGGACATGGCTAGATCGACTCGGCTGTTGATCCTGATCAAGAATATATATACTTTATATAGTCGGAGGTGCCTCCTTCACTGCGTTGCAAACTTCTGATTGAAATTATAATACCCTGCAAGGGTATAATGACTACATCTCTGAGTAAATAAAAAACAAACAAACGAAAGGTTTGTTTCGGACGGACTGACTGATGGATTGGCAGATCCAGATGGAAGGACAGATGGACGGAGGGACGGATTGACAGATGCACGGACGGACAGATGGACTGACGAATAGGCTGACGGACAGACGGACAAACTTTTAGGCTTTATAAATCGAGGAGACTAGATTATTTATTATTACGTTGTATATATCATGTTTTCCTTTATATTATTAACGTAAAAATGTGGTTCTAATCTATTTTATTTTTCATAGATCCTCCAGTTGTGAAGGTTAGTCCACCTAATATGATTACTAATACAAGTGAAATAGTTCTACTGAATTGTGAATATGTTGCCAATCCTGCATCTCTTATCCAAGTTGATTGGTAAGTACAACTGACGGCGTGTTATAAGATGACATAAACTTGAAATATATAATTATAAGCTTTTATAACCCAGGCCGATAACTCCTGAGATTTTTTCAAAGTTTTGTCGGCCTGTGTTATACAATAATAATACATTAGTACCCACCACAATTGTATGTAAAAGACATTTCTTCTGCAAAATAAGGCAAGTCGATCCCAAAAAGTGTACATATTCTTGATCAGCATCACAAGTCGTCTGTATGAGAAAAATAGCACTCAGAGACTATAAGAGCTAAAGCTAACTATTTGCTGATAACATTTTAAACATCCTCACACACCGTAAGTGATTTATAATTGCTGTAAAGCCGTACCGTAATTGTACCACGGGTTCTAATTAACGCGAATTAAAAATTAAACGTATTTCTATTCTTATTTTTAAATAAAATAAACCTATTCGTAATCCTTCACATATTTCCAAAGCGCTACAAGTTAAGTAAATTTTAAATTTTTAAATTAATTTTAATTAATTATTATTTTTAACAAGAATAAATTATTTTCTTATATACTTTAATATACAATTTACATATTTATGTACATTTCAAATGTTCTTATGGCAGTCATATGATGTACTAGTCCGATCCGGATCGTTCCAAGTTATATACTAATGATAATAGTCATAAAACTAACTGCAAAAACTAATACAATGCTTTCTTTTTTCTGTTCTTTTTTAAATTAAGGTATCGCAATGATGATCTTATCAACGTTAACGACACGGATCATTATCAGGGTGGCAATTCAGAAAACGTGGCTCTAGTCATTAAATCTACTGATAAAGATGACATCGGAAATTATTCTTGTCAATTATCAAATACTATTGGAAAAGGAATTCCAGAAGAGAAAATTTATCTTGACGTGCAGTGTAAGATATATTAAACAAATAGTACATCATAATAAGCGCAACTAACATTGGGTTAAATCGTACCTATTCCAGTTGTTCCGAGCGTAGAGGTGCAAATGATACCAGGGGGTCCTGTTAAAGAAAGCGATGAATCAAACGTCACACTTTACTGCAATATATTAGATGCGAATCCCCCTGTTCTTACCAAAGTGAGGTGGTACGCTAACTCAACCTTACTAAAGGAGCTTCCAGACTGTGAAGAAACTAGGGTAAGACATTCAAATTAGTCAATTCATTTGATGATCTATTTATATTTACTTTTGCATTTATAATTCGACTATTTAGGAGGATCTCTGTCACATAGATCCAAGTAAACTTTTATTGGAAAGTATTGGACGCGGATTTTTCTATAACTATTCTTGTGAGGGGTTTAACGCTGCTGGTTGGGGTCCCCGCAGTGAAGACAAAGAACTTATTGTATGTTATTTAAATGCAGCTTATTTATTATAATTTTCTTCCCTAAACAATTATATTATATTATTTTTAGGTACACTACGAGCCTGGACCCGCTACCCTTACCCATTTTCCATTAGTCGCTGTTAAAAAAAAAAGTGTTATATTCTCATGTTCCGTCGATGATCCCGGTTATCCAGACTCGAATAGGTTTGTAACGCAACAAGCCAAACATATTAAAAAAATCACGAAAACACCATATCCACCACCAATTGATTTTCATACCGTCCAAGCATTGCAACCACAGGAAGCCGACATTGCTTTGGAAGCATTGCTGCAAAAGCAACAAGAACGGCTCCACAATAATGCTTCTCTCCATCAAGTTCACGAAATCAAAGAAACGCATGCTCTAATTGATTTCAATTTAAATCAATCCTTTTGTACATTACTCACGCTCACAACATACACGTCAAAATCGCAAATTTTTACCCTTTATTCTGACGTTCCGAAAAACTCTGCCTTGTCATATTCATTATACCGCAAAATGGGCAAATTTTTCTTTGATGCTCAAATGGTTTCAAAACCCAATAGATATCGTTGGCTTCGTGGAGGTCGTGGTCCTCTGCAGGATATAGTAACCAAGGACTGGACAGTGGAGCCAGTTGGACTAGACAGTCGGACCAATTATTCATGCTATGCATATAACGAGGGGGGCAAGGGCGTAATGGCCACGATCAATTTGGAAGTTCACGCACCGCCATTTTTCATAAAGAATCTTGCACCCTACACTGGCATCCTGCACACCTCGTCTAATGCCACTTTAACATGTCGCATTGAGTGCGTTCCGCGTTGTGACATACACTGGCAAAAAGATGGTGTGCAAATTGAGAAGAATAATAGCCGATACTTTGTTAAAGAAAAGTATAGGGAGGCATCTCCTACCACAGGCGATTTTGAAAGCATATTATCTGTTTTGGTAAGTATGTCAAGACCAATTTTCTAAGTAATTATTCTTACATTATGATGTATTATTTTATAAATAAGGAACAAGCTGGCTTTTTTAGTAAAACCAATAAAGGAAGCAAACTTCGGCTAACTAACGCCAAACTGTGTATACCCCTGCACATTCCAATTAGATCATTAATAATTAATACAATACGAATTATATATATTTGTGTTAAAAATCAACAAAGTAATCCCTTATTTTATTACAACCATCTATACCTATTGTATTTACAGTTTTAAATTCAGATTTTATCATTTTCCTCTACGTTTCAAAAATGTCACATTTTTGTCACATTCTATAAGTCGAAACGAGCCGTTTCGGACGACTAATGGGTTCCAAACGAACCATGCAAAAATTTTAGAAAAAAATAAAGCTTTAACAGTTTATAACATATTTGAATAGAATTTGAGTTTAATTTAATATGACTTAAATTTCGACTTTATTTTATGAAAATTGAACTACTCTATAATATTGCTGCTAATTATTGCAACAAAATTGAACATTTCTCTGTTTGTTTTTTTTTTTAACATATTTTCATCTCTAGAGAAAATGCGATTTTTCAATTACTTTAGATATTCAATTTATTTTACTAGCTGCCATAGAAAAGATCTTTAAATGTTAACAAAATATGTATAGATTTATCGATGTTTCTTATCATAAAAAAACATAATTTATATAGTATTATATTATTGATGATTGAATTGCAATCTACAAGGGTATTCAAACCTCTGTGTGCTAATGTTAGCTTCCTTTCTTGTTAAATCTTAAAGGGTTCTATGGCGAAGGGGTACAAGCTTTTTATACATACATATGTCACTTAGTTCTGACCGAGAATGTATGTAAAAGAAGGAACTAAGTAAGGATCCGGTCAACAACCTGTCCTTCTTCTCTTTTGTCTGTCACAAGATTAAACAGAGAGCTTAAACTAAGTATTGAAATCGATGTCCCATTTACATATGTAAACAGGTTATATTGGTATTATAGCGTGGTGTTAACCAAAGATATATATTCGTACGATACATACATACAACGATATAGTACAAAAGTTTTAACTTAATTTAAAAACAGCAGAAATGTCTTGAATCAGTTGTAAAGTGGAGCAAAGTTATAATTAGTCAGTTTCTTAAACATCAATTTTTTTTAACTTTCTGTAAACCTTACATTTCATAACTTTACCTACACAATACCGACTTCGGCTTCTGACGCTCTCATTCGACAGTCGTGGCAAAACCGACACCCCCACGCTATAATTTTATATCAATCAATAAAGGAAGCTAACTTCGGCACGCCGAAGTTTATATATATTTTTCAGATAGAACATCGATGACTAGGCATCAATACATCATACATTATATACATTTATGATAAAAAACAATGAAGTTTTCAATTCATTCACTTATACATATTATATTTACAGGTTTACATTCTCAGATTTGAATTTTTCCTCTATATCTAACAATTGTTCCTATTGGAGCTATATGATATAGTAGACCGGTTTTCATAAAATTTAAAATAAATTTTAGGAGTCATATAAGATGCCTATACATTAAATTTGTTAAAATTCTGTTGAAAACTGAAATTGTTATAATTCTTTTTGTAAAAATTTTGTCGTCCAATCCGGTCCGTTTCAACATATACATGAGTGAGAGTATATAGAAGTCCAACTACAAAGTTTCATTCAGATAGCTTCAAAACTGAGAGACTAGTTTGCGTAGAAACGGACAGACGGAAAGACGGACATGGCTGGATCGACTCGGCTGTTGATGTTGATCAAGAATATGTTATATACACTTTATATGGTCGGAGGTGCCTCCTTCACTGCGTTCCAAACTTCTGACTGAAATTATAATACCCTGGAAGTGTATAAAAATATGACCTAAATGTAGTCCCTACAGTTAAAAAAATTCAAAATTGTTTTTACTCTGCTATCGTCTCGTTGGTGTTCAGCTATCAGCCAGTTACTTGTTATTGCTGCTAGATCTACTCCAACCTCTGCTACCCTAGGAATGACGGTAGAAATTGTGGAAATTCGGTTTCGTAATAAGAAATAAATGGTGTCAACTCTGCCTTGGTTTGTGTCGCTTTTTGTGAATTGCAGTCAGTGTACACCACAAGTTTTCTACCGTGTTGGTAATGTCTGAAATGTTTTACGGCGTTGTATACCGCTAAAATTTCTAGCTCATACGAATGATATTTGGCTTCCGTGGCCGTTGTACTCTTGCTACAATATTCGACTACTCTACGTTTTCCATCTATTTTATGCATAAGCATTGCGCCATAGCCATCAGCACTGGCAGTTCGATTTCAAGTGTGGGGTCGAAAATTGTTAGGGGTCTTTGGTGAGTACTTCAAAAATCTTCTGTCGAACTTGCTCATGCTCATCTTTCCAGACAAATATTTTGAGTTTAGAAGCCAGCTGATAAAGTGGTTTCATCTTTTCCGAGAACCGTGGGTAGATTGTCTGAAATACGATGCCAATGTATTAATTGCGTCACAGTAGTTGGTGGGGAAAGGACAGAAAAGGCCTCAATCTTACTGGGATTCGGTTAATTTTGCCATCTTTAACATAAAATCCTGGATACTCCACTCCAGTGCGTAGAAAGGCAAACTTTTTCGCATTAAACGTAAAACCCGCCTCTGACAAGTAAATTTTCCAAACTGTATGTATTTTCTTGTACAGCATTAACAATTTTAGCTTTGTAGACATTATATTTATCAGTTTTAATTATAACGCCAAACCCAAGTTTAAATATTTCTTGACCAATCATTATGTCATGCTTTAAATAATTATCCAATACTATGAAACAAAATTTCCAAATTATATTGCGATATTTGAACAGTGGACAAAATTTGCAGATGACTCTCCACAATATTATCGCCAATTCCTCTTAACACGACTAGGTTATTTATTCTTTTCCCAGATTTTTTTTTGGAAAATTTTTTTTTTATCAGAGAACACTCGGCTCCCGAGTCAAAAAAAAAATGGAAATGCCCAGTTCATAGAGCAAACCTTTAGGCTCATATATTTGACATACATATGTATGTCTACGCGCTTCTCCTTAAACTTGTCCATTCCATGCGCACGACCTTTGGGACACACCGAAGCCACATGCCCAACGCACTTGTAGCATCTGATGTTTGGACGATCCTTCCCTGCGGAACCGCTGCCTCCGTTGTACGTCTTTCCTTTACCATCCGGGCATGGCACTGGGCATACTTGTGTCCCATTTTCCGCAAAAATGGCACTCCAGCTGCGACTGGATTTGTAGTTTCTTCTTCTCCGTAGCTGGCGAATATTCATCCTGTTCGTGCTTACGCTTATTAAACGCGTACGTCTGCAGCTGCTGTTGTAGCTCATTGCGCGTAGTCAAATTTGTTGTGAAAACGCAACGCAGCAAATTATTATCAATTTGAGCCATGAGGGCTAAAGATATTGACACCGCAATCTCAGCCTTCAATTTGGACAGTAGTAGGGTGACTATGCGACTGCCATACTCAGCATATGTTAGCTCTCTCCGGATTTGGATCGCCCATTTAAAACGTTTATCACTGCAGCAGCCGTTGTCTCAATGCCCATAAATCGTTGGATGAATAATTCCTTGAATTGAGTCCAAGTGATGCCGTTGAAGCATACTTGGGAGAGCCATTGAGAGGCACTGCCTGTGAGCTGCCTTCAATTACGTTGACTGCGAAGATCAAATCAATAGTCGTGCACCAAGCTGATGCATTTGCTCCAGCACCATCGGGATTGAATTTGGGCAGTGTCACGTGCGTGGTCTTCCCATCCGACGCCGGTGCTTTTGGTGTCTGCATAGTTTTTATTATTTCCATTAGATTTTTGTTTAGTTTCTCCAACGCAGCCATATATTGGATCGGGCTTTGTTCAGGTGGCGGCGCCGATCCCACTTTTGATGTCTGATGCGTAACTGTTTCGTCCATATTAATATCTTTGCGCGGCAGCACAGCGAGTTCCGTTGCCGATCGTTACCCAAACTGAACTGAACTCCACTCCCTTCTCTCCATCTATTTATGTATGTATATGTTATGTCCATGTTCATACTTCAGATGATCTATTACCCCCTCTCTCTCTCCTATGACTTTCGGTAGCGCGACAACGGACCTCACTCGCCAGCAGAGACTGCCCTCGTCTCTGCTGCTATGCCTCGCGCTGCGCTTCTTAAGAAAAGCGTACTTCCCAGAATTCTTCTCCGACATATGGGCAATTCTCCAGAAAGGTCTACCGCGGCCAAAAACTTAAAATTGATTAAAAACCAGTATTTTTAACATAATTACATAACAAATTGGTCAGGATGATCAAGACTAAGAGAATTTTTCATTTTCTAAAATAAGTTTCAAAAAAATCGTCAAACACGCGCAAACAAAAAAAATGTTGTTTTTATAAAAAAAAAGGCATACAAAATGGCATTTTTTGTTTTGATGCCAATCTCTTAAAACTAAGCATTTTGCTTCGACTTTTGGTTTCTAATATGACATAAAAAACCCAAAGAAACAACATACATTATTAAGAGAATTCATTGCGTAATTCATTAAAATTTATTGTACTACAATTTTTCATCACGTTTCGCTGAAATCCGAGCTTAAACTGGTTTTTTGCAAATGTAACTTCTTTTTTTTTGTCGCGTGCGAATGCAGTAAATTTTAGTGAATATCTTGAAAATAAACAAGGGTTCAAAATCGACCTTGGCACCAATTATAGTGCTAACCAAGAGCTATTCGTTTAAATTTTTATAAAATTAAAATAAAGTCTTGGCACATGTGTTTTTTTAGTTTGAATGCGTACGAATGTCGCATTCGACACCAGAGAATTCCCCATATGTATACATTATATGGTCGGAGGTGCCTGCATCACTGCGTTGAAAACTTCTGACTGAATATATGTATGTATATAAAACCCTGCAAGCGTATAAAAGTGGTTGATGAAAAATATAACAATTCATCTCTCTCTCTCTCTCTCTCTCTTGCAATCCCTCTCTCAACAAAATAGGCGGGGTGGTTGTTTCTGAGAGAAAACTAAATATATTGTAGCTGGCAATATTAAAACTCTATACTACAAAATAAATTATACAGTTAGCAGGAAATAATTGTTTTCGAGTGAAAAATTAAAATAAAAGAAAAACTCAACAAAAATATGTTGACTAACTTGCTGATGAAACGTTAATGATTTTTTGGCCTAGAATGTTGTAAATGATAAATTGTGAATTTGCACCAGCTCAGTAAATGTAAGGATCGGCATCGATGATTCAACAACAAAACTGACTTGTTGACTGATGAATTATTGATGAAAGGAAGTATCGGTACTGTATGTTTATACATAACATATGCTGTACAAAATTACTCCTTTATTGTGTTGCAATTTCTGACTAATACAAGAAATGAAGCAAACTTTAGGATTCTTAATTTCAAATATGTATTTACATACAACTAAATAAATATGAACATGCAGTCTAGTTTGATACACTCAGGCGAGCAGAACAGTGTCGAAAATTACTTCGGTAATGACTACTTCGTTGGACTCCTCTGAGACAAATGAAAAAAGCCTGCAAATACCTTACAAAGTAGTAACATTAGCATGTTTTACATTAAAAAAACACCTACATGAAATTAAGAAAAAAATTTTTATTTATAGCACTTCAATATGTCAAGTTGGCCACGTAATAAATTTGATATCGACGCCGACAATGCGAACTACTCATGTACCTCAACACCAAACACTGTGGGAGCTGGTATCAAGAGTGCGACATATTTTAGTATTGAGTGTGAGTATTAGTGAAAGTTGTTGGCCTATAGTAGCTTTTTTTAAACCAAATTCAACAGATTCACCAGATAATACGACAGTATCCGAAAACATTACCTTCGTTCAGGAAGACACCGTTCCAGGACGGGTCATATGTAAAGCACGAGCTAATCCAGGTACGTTCTTTAGACGGAATTACTATTGTGTTTCTTTATATGTATAAGCATATAATTCCTACAGAGCCATCGTATAAGTGGTTTTTTAAAAACGAAACAATAGCCAATGGAAACGCTTTAATTATCAACACCGCCATGAAACGAAGTGATAATGGCACTTATACCTGTTTAGCTTACAACAAGCATGGCAGTAGCAAAGCAGAAACGGTGATAATAGTGCAATGTAAGTTTAACATTTAAAAAAAAACAAAATGTTATTAATATATTGAAATTTTTTTTTAAGTTGCGCCACACTGCGAAATTGAGAGACGAGAAATTGATGGACAGGACACTTTGATTTGCACTGCATTCGGAAATCCTGAGGAGGTATATGGATCTTTATTTATTTATTTAATATAAAATACATAATTTGCATGATTAACTTTGTAATTTACTTTTTTTTATATAAGTTGGATCGTAACTTATGAGTAATATATAAGTCTGGGTCAATATCCATATCTGAATTCTTTTCATAGATGATTTGTGCCGTCCGAACTGGCTGACTTATATACTATTTAAAATAGAAAAAAAAACATTCGCAAAGTTTCGTTGCTCAAAAACTGGAAGACTAATTTAAGTTAAAGCGAGTGGTAGACAGAAAGGTGGACAGATGGAAAGTGGGCGGAAAAATTGGAACACTTTTGATTGTGGCGTTTGAGTGCATTTCCCCAAATAACTTGCAATGATTTGTCTCGCGTGCTATTGATACTAAAAGATTTTATATGTGCAAGAAAGGTTACACTTCAACGTATATAAACTAGTTTTCCAATGATATGTATCACTCATGCCTTTATTAATAAATCTTAAATTACGTATATTTAATTGATTATTATAAAAAGTATATGTCTTTATTTAACAGGCTGACTTTTCATGGTCAATAAAAGCTGAGAATGAAACAGTTGAGTTTTTAGGAAGTGGTGATAAAAAGGATTCCTTGGAAAAGAGTTATTACACATTACTAGAGGGCTATGCAATTGCCAGGACATTCAGATGTGTAGCCAACAATACGGTTGGTTCGGGACCATTCTGTGAATTTGAAGTAGCTGGTATGTATAAATTTATTTAAGTATATTCTTAAAATTTATTTTGCGGTGTATAAATCTCGTTGCTATTGGATATTACACACCTATCCATCATTTACATATTTATTAAAACCTTATGACTTTGAGAGTGTAGAGTCTAACCATTAGTGTTAATTTATTTTTGTGCATTATTTTATGCAAAAAAATAAAGTCATTGTTATTTTTTCTGCCTGTTTTACCTCGACTACAATACAGATCAATGTAGAGAATCAAACTTTAGTATACGTAAACTTAATACAGTATTATATTATAATGTACCAAAATTATATGTGTTGGTTTCAAAAGAGATAGTTAGTTTGGACCATAATCTTAATGGTCCCGTGACACCTGTGCATGCCGACAGAGATCCTTGTAAGTTCCTGGATTTTGTAAGCCATAATTAATGGTGGTGCCCGAAATAAGTATGTAGGACATCAATTTTCTTTTGGTTAACAAAAAAACGCTTGAGTAATTAAAAAAAATATAATTATTCTTTATTAAATATTTAACACTTTTTAAGTTACAAGAAATAAAATTTAACTTCACATCATAGAAAATAAAAAACCTTTAACACGAAATAAGTAAATAGGAATATATGATATATAGTGAAGTGTTTCTGTTTTGTGAGTCGAACTAATGTCCCGTCAGTTGACTAAGGACAACGCTAAGTTGAATTAATAAAACGAATATTCCGCTTCACGTCTTTATTCAAATGATCTCAGCTTAAGACTAAATTATTGTGACAAAAATCTTACTTCTACTGCCCTTTGTTTACAAAAGTTGGGGAGCGAGATCGCCCGCTTGGGATATTGATTGAAGAATTATTTATGTTATTGAGAAGGAGCATTGCTTGCTCCGGATGTGGATTGTTTACATTGGTTCATCGTGGGATCGCCTACGCTGCAGATTCATATTTCTTGGAACTTAACAGAATTTGTGAATATGTCACTTCCCTCCCCTTAAAAGGGTTGCCTATGTTTGGGCTGGCATTTCAGGGTAAAATGCAGGCAACTGGTTTTGTGCCGGTTTCTTGTTGTGGTTCTTGATTATTTTTTGCTTGTTTTCTAAATTTTGTATATAAAAAGGTAAGTGGATTTTGTGTATACAATTTTGATAGGACAACAAAAATAATAAGAACGATAACTACTAATATTATAATTACGTAAAGTGTGGTATTATTTTCAATAAATTGGGGAGTTATGTGTTGTATTTTGTACGTATTTAATGGTATTTGTAAATGTTAGATTGTCTCCTTCTTCATAATGAAGATTTTTGAATTTATTTAATAAACCTTTCAACCTTGAAGTTTCCTCCTGATTCAGGTGATCTAATCGAAATAATCCAAAATCAATTTTTTTTTGTTGATTCCTGAGGTGATTTTTTAATTGGTTCTATTGGCTTTTGGATATAAAAATTGTGTTTCTTTTCTGATTTTGAAGTTATTAATTTATATGTTTTATCAAAAAAGATAACTGTGCTATTTTTGTAATTTATAATTGATTGTGCATTTTTCAACAATTTTCTGCCAATTAGTATATCATAATTATTAGAGTTGTTAAGGAGTTCGAGGCGAAGAAAAAGAAAAAGCGGCCTGTAGGAATAACTCTTCCCAGGCCTGATGTTACCACTGCGCCTTCTACGTCTTCCAATCCCGACCCAAAAAACTAACCCACTCCTTAGGTATTTCCTATCAGAATGCAAGAGGCTTACGTAGTAAGCTTCCTAACTTGTATTCTGATAGCCTTTCGTTTGCATCTCAGGTTATTGTGCTCACAGAAACCTGGTTAAAGCCGGAGATTCTGAGCTCCGAAGTTTTTCCAGCTGTGTTCACGGTATATCGGCTAGATCGCCCTATCAGACGCGGGGGTGGAGTTCTTATAGCGGTGGACTCCTCACTCACGTCAGAATTATTAACCTTCGAGGAATGCAACGATGTTGAATTCCTCTGTGTGAAGCTATCTATCAAAGGTAGCTCAATTTTTATTACCTGTTCCTACATACCTCCACTGTCGGAACTTCCTATTTATTGGAATCACCTTTCCGCTATTCAGATGGTTTCCAGTAGACTTTTGGATAGAGACCAGTTGGTAGTTCTTGGTGCTATTTGGTGCTCGAATAATTCCACCAATACTCTCAATACACCTACACAACATGACTTTATCGCTGGCTTGTTTGACATTTCGCTGTCTCAAGTCAACCATGTTCGAAATTCCTTACAGCGCTTGCTCGATCTTTGCTTCGTCTCTGATCCTGCGAGAGTCAGTTTAGCAAGGGTGGCGCCTCTGACGCAACCCGAAGATCCTTATCATCCAACTTTCGATGTGACTCTTGATATTGGGTGTGACGTACAGCATATTTCTGACCGTCCAGCAAATAAAGTCCTATGTTTTCGCAAAACGGACTTTGAACGGCTGAATAATTTTATAAACGAGTTCAATTGGACCGATCTATACATGTGCACTGACATGGCAGTTGCCGTTGATATTTTTTACAGTGCCATGAATTCATTTTTTACTGAATGTGTTCCGTTATATTATCCGCCAAGCTCGAATAAACCGCCGTGGTTTACTAAAGAGTTGAGCCGACTTAAAAATAAAAAATCTAGACTGTATGCTAAATTTAAAATCACCGGTTCTCAATCTGCCCTTTCATTTTATTTATCAGCTCGGTCAAACTTTTCCGTGCTGAACGCGCAGTGTTACAAAAACTATTTAACTCGTTGTAGGGCCCAGTTCTCACAGGACCCAAAACAGTTTTATAATTTCGTTAACACTAAACGTAAACCTAAAACAAATCCTTCCTCGCTTTCATTTGAAAATACTACCGCAAATAATGATCAGGCAATAGCCGATCTATTTTCGCAGTTTTTTCAAACAACCTATTCTAGCTCTTCGTATATATACTAGACTTATTCCTACGACATACCCAAATCGAACTTAATTTTCTGTCCTAGCCTAAACGAAAGCTCTCTCCTTTTAGATCTTCATCGTGTCAAGCCAGTTTATTCGCCAGGTCCCGACGGAATTCCTGGCTGTGTGCTCAGGTATTGTGCCGACGCTCTGTGCTATCCCCTTCTGAAATTGTTTACCTTGTCCTTAGCAACCTCCCACTTTCCCATTATTTGGAAGGAATCGTTTATTATTCCTCTCCACAAAAAGGTAGCAAATTGGATGCCAGCAATTATAGAGGAATCTCTAAGTTGTCGGCCATCCCAAAATTATTTGAAAATATTATCACCCCTCATTTACAGCACCTTTGTAGATCGGTTATTTCTCCATGTCAACATGGTTTTATTAAGCGAAGATCAACAACAACAAATCTTTTGGAGCTCTCTTCCTATATTATAAAGGGCTTCCATAATAATTGTCAGACAGATGTAATCTATACTGATTTCAGTAAAGCATTTGACTCTGTTAATCATTCTCTCCTCGTTAGAAAACTCGATTCAATGGGTTTTCCAAGTGATCTTCTTAATTGGATCTCTAGTTATTTGAACGGCAGGACGCAAAAGGTCCTCTTTAAGAATAATTTATCCAATATTCTAAGGGTTACATCTGGTGTCCCGCAAGGAAGCCATTTGGGACCCTTATTGTTTACATTGTTCATAAATGACCTGCCCAAAGTCTTGACTAACTCCAGAGTACTTATGTACGCGGATGACGTCAAGCTTTGCGTGCAATACAATGACGTTGCCTGCCAGTCGGATTTACAAACAGATCTTAATAATTTTCAAACTTGGTGCCGTGTAAACTTATTAAACTTAAATGGCTCGAAATGCAACCTAATGACATTCTCTCGTGTCGCTCCTAAGCTTGCTACTTACACGCTGAACGGCTGCTCTTTGGAAAGAATTAATACAGTTGACGATTTGGGCGTCCGCTTGGACCCAAAACTTGACTTTATTGATCATATTTCGTCTATGGTGAATAGGGCCAGGGGTGTGCTTGGATTTATTAAACGGTGGTCGAAGGAATTCAATGACCCCTATGTTACTAAATCCTTATATACTTCCTTAGTTCGTCCTATCCTAGAATATGGATGCTGCGTTTGGAGCCCTCAGTACGGCGTCCATAGTAAACGCATTGAGTCGGTTCAAAAGAACTTTTTACTTTTCGCTCTACGCGGTTTAAATTGGGATGCAAACCAAAGATTACCTTCCTACTCTAGTAGACTCCTATTAATAAACTTGCCGTCCTTAGCCAATCGTAGAATGATGCTAGGGATAACCTTTATTTTTAACCTTATCCATGGTGATGTGGAAAGTGCTGACTTGTTGGGTCAGCTTAATTTCCATGTACCATGTAGAACCACTAGATCCTATATCCCATTAGTGTTGCGCCACTGTTGGACCTCCTTTGAACTGCATGAACCTTTTAGAGTGTTATGTGCAAATTATAATGATTTGTACACACTAATCTCTAACGTAGATTCCCTTCCCAAATTAAAATCTTTGATATTAACATACTTAGTAAGCATGCAAGCTAACAATCTGGCAGCACGCCGGTAGTCAATTTTCCTCGTATTCTGTCCTATATTTTCCATCGCGCCTACTAACACCTAACCCAAACAGGCACGTGCCTGGTGTCATACGGGCCACTTGTATGTACTGACCTTAGTGCATCAACGTCCAAGAAATTATTAGAAAAATTGTGTACATAAAATGGTTCAGTTGTTTTAAAAATACTATTGCTAGGTAACATAATTAAATTGTTCAATGTAATAGGGCCATTTGATGTCAAAACTTCGCATATAGTATTTTGAATAGGAAGACAAAATATATTTTTATTGATCATATTTATTGTGGATCCTGTGTCTATAAGGCAATTGTATGTGCAACCTTTGTATGCTATTTCTATGTATTGGTGTTGTCTGGGGCTGTTAACCGAAAATTTTCGTTTGGTTCTGAGCTATTTAGATTTTGTTCATCTTTATTTTGGGTGTATTGGACCTGTTGTTGCTGTTGTTGTTCATTAGTCAACCTTTGG